TGAACCTCTGTCTACTTCCCGCCACTTTCCTAGGGTTATGGTACCCTTCTACCCAAATCCTGAATGCTATTCTCTTCTTAATCTTCATCAATGGTTCAGAATTTCCACTACTCAGTGGAACTGGGTAAGGAGATTTTTAGAATCCCAGGTTACAATTTGGACCAAGTAAGTAGAAACAGAAATTGCTAGGGTGAGCCCCAGCATCAGTAATTTTTAATTGTCCAATGTTTCCAATGTGCAGCCAAGATGAGAATCACTGTTTTACACTCTTTTCCTACAGCAGAGACCACACACTCCAATGCCTCAGAGGCATAGAAGTAAATAAGCAAAGCAGGCCAAGCATAAGTTTTAGGGAGTTGTGAGCTCTTTGGTGAACTAGAAAGCAGCTGGGATCAGCTGTGACTTAGCACCAATCAATTGTTGCCATATGGGAAAGCCTGCTCAGTAGAGCCACATCCTCTCATTAAAAAAAAAACAAACCCAAATCTGGATTTTCATGGGAACTAACTCAAAATTAAACAACAACAAAACCCACTGTATTGGAAAAACAAAATACATCTGTAAACCAGATTCAGCTGTCAACTACAGGTTTACAATCGTTGCTCTTGGTAATTCCATCCACACCTTTCAATTTACACCTAAAAAGTGGTGTCCCTGCTTCAACGTATTCCTCTGGGCTTTGAATTTGAATTATCAGATGCTTATGAGACATTTTCACTTGAAGGTCTCACCAGTCCCAAAGTGAAATATGATTTAAACCCACCTTAATACTATTTATCCTTCCAGTGCTCTCTATCTAGTTAACAACTCTATCCTTCACCTGGCTGGGGAAGCCAGAACTCAGGGAGTCATTCTACACACTTAATTTCTCCCTCTCACTGCTTGTGCCACATCTGTATCTACCTACTTTTCTCCGTCTCCTCTGCTACCACCTTGATCCCAGCTACCATCTTTTCTCTCCTTCTTTTCCACAATGTATTTGCTGGCTGAGGCTGCTATGACAAAATACCATAGACTGGGTGGCTTACACAACAGAAATTTATAGGATTTCCAGATCACTGTCCAGCAGGGTCAGTTTCTAGTGAGAATTTTCTTCTTGGCTTCTCACTGTGTGTTCACATGGCCTTTCCTCCCTCCTCTTCACAGAAGGCCACCAATTTGATCAGATTAGGGCCTCATCCTGATGACCTCATTTAACCTTAACCACCTTCTAAAGACTATCTCTAAATATAGTTACACTAGAGGTTAGAGCTTCAAAATATCAACTTTGGGGAGGCATAATTCATTCTGTAGCACACAGTGACCTTAATTAGGGTCATTTGTCTCCCACATTCACTGTTATTTCCTTTTAAACCTTTTTTTTTCCCAGTAGGACCACAGTGATGTTTTTACAAACACAAATATTTACAAATATGTGTGTATACACATTTGACTCAACAATTCCAGTTCTAGGACCATTTTACAAACATATTCACACCCATGAACTGGTATAAGCATAGTACTGTTTGTTATAGTTAATTACTAGAAACAATTTCCATACAATGGAATATTACACAGTCATTCAAAAGAATAAGTAAACTATATATTGAAATGGAAAGACTTCCAAGACATTGGTCAGAGAACAAAACAAAGAACAGAATAGTGTGTACAGTATGCCACCATTTGTGTAAACAACAGGAGGAAAGAATATGCATTTGCTTGAATGTACACATAAAGTGTCTAGATATATGCCTCCGAAATATATCTCCTATATCCACATACTTCTCTCCCTCTCCTCTGCTACCAAATGAGTCCCAGCTGTTTGTTACAGTAAATTATTGGAAACTACACTGGCTATCCCTTTGGAAGGTGTGAGGAAAATTGCAGCTGGGGAGGAAAGGGAGCAGCACCACTGCAGACATTCTGATTTAATGGGCTGGGAGGATGGCCTAGGACTAGTATTGTTTGAAGTTACTCTTGTGATTCTAATGAGCAGGCTGAATGAACTGAGAACTGCACCTTGAAATTGCCTTCACTTACTTTCCCAGCTTCATTTTATATCATCCTGCCCCTATCAATCTCTATGCTCTAGCCACACTGGCCTCTGAGTTCCCAGAAAGGTTCTGTTTCTTCTTTGGGAATGTTGTTCCTCTAAGCTTCATCTTGTAACTTCTATTTATCCCTCAGAGTCCAACTCATCTTGAAGTTCATTTCCCAAGGAAATGTCCTAGCTTCCAAAGCTAGTCAGGACCCCTGTTTTATGTACTCAGAGCATCCTGTACTTCTCCCAGAATTGATCGCCATTATAATGTGGTAACTATAGCATTATAAATATATGCTTCTCTCACTCTTCAGACTGTAATGTCCAGGAGTGCAAAAATCGTATCAGTTGTTTTTACCACCGGATTCCCAGACCTATATAGTGTCTGGCTGGCAAAGTAGGCCCTACCTCAGATATTTGTCAAATAAATGAATAAGACTACTCCTGCCTTCAAGCTTAGCATAATAGATGAAATCAACACATAAGCAAATGAGGACAATGCAGTGTCACTGGTGTTAAGGCTGCAGTCTATTTGGAAAAGTGGTTCACTGGTGAGGGAGATCTGGGCCCTCCCAGGAGACTCCTGGCAATGTCTGCAGGCATTTTTGGCTGTCACAACTGTGTGGGTTGTGTGACTGCTTGACTGTCACAATTGGGGTGGCGACAGGGTGGGAAGTAATAGTGGTTTCCATTAAGTAGTTGTCAAGAATGCTGCTAAATACCCTATAATTCACAGGATAACCCCCCACAGCAAAGAACTATCTGCTCTAAATGTCAATAGTACTAGAAAAAAACCTCTAATTTAGAGAGAATGATAATGCCCCAAAGGGTGACCATTTATTTCTACTTGAGGTGGCGGTGAGAGGGGGCAGATGTCAAGAAATTTGAGAGAGGAAGTACACATAACTTTAGCTGCACACTGAAAGGTGGCAGGGACCACAACCATGGGGGCTGTTTGCTGGAGGTTATGAGGAGACTGTGAAGAGGTTAAAGGCAGAGTTCTAGCTTGAACAGGTGCCCCTCAAGCACCTCATACTCCGAAATTACTATCTCCTTTATTCTCTTCTTGCTGAAACAAAACTTTCATTCTCTTAGGGCAGCTGGTTTCAGCTAAACATCAAGGCCAAATTAACTCATCCTTGGATAAAGTCTGATAGCCCCTTCACACTCCAGAATGTTAAGCTGCATTTTCAAATATGCAAATACTTATGAATACAAATAAACCTTTAACTGCTTAATGTTCAGGTTGTTAATGGATAAAGCTACTTTTGAACACAACAACCAGGTTAGTCCTATAAAGTTTTGTGTTTTTAAAAACCTTAACTTTTATTTCCCCTGTCCTCAATTTCTGAGCTCCCAGACCTATAAAAGATCCAAATTCTCCCCACATGTATCTCATGTTGTAAGTTAGTTGTCTGCCAGAGAGGATAGGAGAGCCATTTGGATACAATAAATCTGAATAAATTGTATATATAAATTAGCAGTGATCTATGGGTTTTTAAAAGGCTTTCACTGAAAGCCATGGGTACAACTTAAAAAAATGAAAATGAGATCATTTTCAATGGCATCACCAAGAAAGAAAACAGTTTTACTACAGCACGAGCCTGCTGCCTACTAGGCTGGATGCACATGCTCTGACCTAGTATGGCAATTCTTAGGGTCTCAGCACTGGGTGCTGTTTACAAGAAACTGAGGCCTGAAACTAATGAAGAACAAAGAAAAATGCCTGGCACCGAAGGTCTGATGGCTGTTTTTTGTACAAATATGATTTGAGGAGGAACACTTCCAGCTTTGCACAGCACCACAAATCAGGCTTTTTTGCTTACGTGTTAAGAATTTTTATTTCGTGCTTTGAGACAGTTTCCTAATAAGAAAATACCTTATAATTTACAAAGGGCAATTTATCCTCCCTTACATTTGCTGACCACGAAAACTGGATAAAATTTCCTTAAGCTTTAGCAGAGTCTGAGGATTGAGAATAATGTGAGCACAACAGAGTTCAGATGCAGCTGGTTTCCATCGGGAGCTCTCCCAGGAGAAAGCCCCCCCGGAGGCGACGCCGGGGTCCGGGAGGAAGTGAGAGCCCCGCACAGGGTCGGCTGCGGGACTAGGCTGGGCTGTGGTCTGCTCGGGCTCTGTTTACCTTTGTTTCAGGTACTCCCGCTCCCAGCAAGGCCAGGGATCCCGCCCAAAGCCCGGAGCTGGTGACACATCCTTCTTTGGCCAAGTCGGGCCGAGGTTGGGCAGGGGGCGGGGAAGGAAAATAAAGCCTCAACGCCTAACGACGTGACTCTCAGTTCTTCCAAAACGTTGGCATTTGTTTCTGTGCCAAGCTTTCCGGTTAACAAGTTCCCGAGGGCTGCGCGGGCGAACTGGCCTAGGAACCCGCAAGTGGGAGGGAGCAGGCCGTCCCCCGCCTTCCCTCCTCTGTAGACGCCCACGGGGCAACAGATTTCCACACCTCCCGGGCTGCCACGGCCCGGGACCGAGCTGGGCGTGCAGGGGCGCCCGCACCGCCTCAAAACTCGACTTCCACGGCTGCGCTAGCCGAACCAGCGCAAAGCCGATCCGGCCGTCCCGCTGGACAGGCCGGTCCCCGCCCCCAGGCTCGGGCCCCGCCTGCCTGGGCCTCAGCGTACCGCCCCCCGTACCCCCCCGCCCGGCCTCACTACAACCCTCCGACTAGGCCGGGAGTGCTTGGGCTCCAGGCCGCGCCACGAGAGTCCCAGCCCTTACCTCAGTGCCCGCTGCTCCTCCTCTGGCTGCTGACTTGGCCTGCGGACCGCGCCTGCCGCCGGAACTCCGGCGGCGGCTGCGGTGGCGCGGGACACGGCTGCGAGAGCGGTGCGAGAGGCGCTGAGAGGCCCGACCGTGCCCCGCCCAGCCTCCAGCGAGCCCTCCCAGCCGCCTCTCCCCACCCACGGCCGCCCGCTCGGGGTCCCGCCCCTCCCGCCCCGCCCCATGGAGTAGACCCCGCCAGGAAGGGGGCCGCCAGGGGCTCCACGAGAGCCGCGGCAGCCGCTGCGGGTGCCGCTCTCTGCGCGTAATCTCCGCGGGGACGCGCTTCGTAATACTTACTACTATTTGGAGATGCGAGTCTCTCAGACTTGTTATTACTGTAATTGTTATTATCATTACTGTCATCGTTATTGATTGTTTTGCCCTCTGGCAAACTGGATGGTTCCTTTGAGGCCGTAGCCAGCGGACCGGTAGTCGCCGCTGACTGGACGCCCCAGCTCACTCCCAGTGGCCCGCACCTGCGGCCACTTTTCCTTGTGAGTAGTAAACAAGTTGAAAGGTATTTATTTTAACTGTTATATTGTTAAATATAACACAAATACAGAAAGCCATATAAAGCCAGTGCATAATTTAATGCATTATTCAGAGACATCCCCCCTTATAACAGCTCCCCATTTAACGCCGTCTAAAATGGTCTGACTTAAAACCTCATGAATAGCTTGGAGGACGCAGCCTTGATAGGGCCTCCTAAAATTTCCTTCTTCCCAACTGCCACAGGAACTCAGAGACCACTTGTCCGTAATTACGTGCTCTCCAAGAACACATTTGTAAAATAGAAATATCCCCAGAATTAGGAACCTCCAATTAAGAGTTTATTTGTAAAATTATTTTTAAAAATATTTTATTTGTTTATTTTTAGAGAGAGGGAAAAGGAGGGAGAATGAGAGAGAGAAATATCAATTGGTTGCCTGTCCCATGTCCCCAACTGGGGGCCTGGCTGGGAACCCAGGCAGGTGCCCTGACTGGGAATTGAACCAGATGACTTTTCTCACTTGCTCCACTGAGCCACACCAGTCAGGGCTATTTGTAAAATTCTTAATTAAAAAGATAACATGTACCATATTTGGCCATGTATAATGCTCACTTTTCCGCCCCAAGTTATTGAGGGAAAAATAAAGATGTGCATTATACGTGGGTAGTATTAATTTGTTGCCAGTACATAAAATTTCTTGTACTTTGTATCTGCTTTTGTGTCTTGTAATTATTTGTTACAGAAAATTTCTTGTACCATAATATGTTAAAAAATAAATGGTAAAATTCCTTTATGATACAAAAATCAAGTATCTAAATATAAATAAATTAAAAATGAGTTAAAAAACAAAAAAAAAGGCTTTTTCCCTGAAAGTTTGGGCCAAAAACATGGGTGCACATTATACATGGCAAAGTACAGGTATATATGCATATAAATAACTTAATCAATTAATCAATCACAACATTGAACAGCATGAGTAAGAGCATTTAGGGGGAGGGGATGGAGGGTATGTAAAGACTTAAAAATAGTCAAGGAGTAGGTGGCCTGTGAGGATTGGTCCTGGGCACCTGGGTGACCCTCACTCTGTGTCACTAGTGCCTAGTGCATATAATAGGTTTAAATGTGTTTGTTTATAGTGAAAGGAAAGAAGATACGTACATGTACACACATATATGTATGTATATATATGCATATGTAACTACAAAACAGGTTTTGCCTACTAAACAATTTCATCTGAAGTCAATTCTTCTAATAGCTAAAATGATGAATTCTAAGATGCTTTGATGCTTTGGAAAAAAAGGTATTATACTTTAAACTTTATACTCCTTTCCACTTTTTAAAAAGCACTTTCACATGGATTATGGTACTTCTTTGAGGTTGTCAACAAAAGTTTACTGCCACCAATTTAATGCCAACAGGAGTCCCCCAACCTGGGGTGCAGTTAATGGAGAAACTTTATTCAAGTCAACAGCTGCAAATAGGGAAAGCACCCTCAAGTGAAAACCAGAGGAGACAAAGGGGAGGCCAGAAAATAGGGGTTGTGGGTGGAGGCTAACTTTAATAGACAAAGCACCTGCCCTGGTTCCTGATCGGGTCCATTTTTATGAGAAAAAAGGATCCAAATTTTCACAGTCTGATTGGTCCAAATAGCACTGTCTTTTTTTTCTCCCATTTTTCTCCCCTTTATCCCCCCGCTCTCTGCACCCCACCACCCTCCAGCATTCCACCTCCACTAGTTCATGTCCATGGGTTCTACATATAAGTTCTTTGGCTTCTCCATTTCCTATACTATTCTTAACGTCCCCCTGTCTACTGTGTGCCTATGTAGTATGCTTCTTATTCCCTGTACCTTTCCCCCCCATTCTTCCCCTCCCCCTTCCCACTGCTAACCCTCCATATGATCTCCATTTCTGTGATTCTATTCCTGTTCTAGTTGTTTGCTTACTTTTTGTTTTTGCTTTTTAGGTTCAGTTATTGATAGTTGTGAGTTTGTTGTCATTGTACTGTTTATAGTTTTTAATCTTTTTCTACTTCTTAGATAAGTCCCTTTAACATTTAATATAATAAGGGCTTGATGATGATAAACTCCTTTAACTTGACCTTATCTGGGAAGTGCTTTATCTGTCCTTCCATTCTAAATGATAGCTTTGCTGGGTAAAGTAATCTTGGATGGAGGTCCTTGCCTTTCATGACTTCGAATACTTCTTTACAGTCCCTTCTCATCTGTAAGTTTTCTTTTGAAAAATCAGCTGATAGTGTTATGGGAACTCCTTCGTAGATAACTCTCTCCTTTTTTCTTGCTGCTTTGAAGATTCTATCCTTATCTTTAACCTTGGGTAACTTAATTATGATGTGTCTTGGTGTCTGCTTCCTTGGGTCCAATTTCTTTCAGACTCTCTGGGCTTCCTGGAAATCTATTTCCTTCACCAGATTGGGGAAGTTTTCCTTTGTTATTCATTCAAATAAGTTTTAAATTTGTTGCTTTTCCTCTTCTCTTTCTGGCACCCTTGTGATTCAGATGTTGGAGTGTTTAAAGTTGTCCCAGAGGTTTCTCAGCCCTCTCCTCATTTTTTTTTTTGAATTGTGTTTCTTCATTCTGTTCTTCAGAATGAAAAGAAGATGCTTATTTCTTCATTTTGCTTCAAATAGCACTGTCCTGATTGGTCATTATGGAGCTGCTGTGATTGGTCAGTAAAGATTCAAATGAGGATATAGTTTCAAAGCATCCTCATTGGATGGGGCAGATCTCAGCCCATTGGTTGAGAGACGATTCTAGGAACTTCTTTGTAAGATTCTGCTTAGACAGCAATAACCTGGTCCAAGCTTGACTACTCAGTCTGTGGCTTTTCACTGGTATACAGTGTACATGAGGAGCCTCTGTCAGCAACGGGTGCCAAACTCTCAGTATGATTTTGTGCCCAATCAGCCACAAGGGCCCTCTTTGAGAAAGGGGAGGGGGTGGGGCAGGACAGAAGGACTTTGCAAAGGTCACAGTGAAATATTTACCTGAGAAGTACATAGTGAACTATAAAACAATTCCAGTACTGCTGACCCTGCCCCTCCCTGCTGGGTTCCTGGTTTGTTTTGACAGTTTTATTGCCTGAGTGTAGGACTCCTTTGGCTCCTTCAGAATACATTTATATAAAGAAAACTACCTAATTGGAAATTTGATTCAATATGATAGAGTCAACCTCTTTATTAAGAGCACTTTGGTGAATTGGAGCTAGAGAGCTACCAATTGAGTACCTTGACTCTGTGGTTGGTGGCAGAAATACAAAGCATAGAAAAATGAATAAGACACAATCTTAGTTCTCAAAAGTTTAGGCCAAATTAGAGGGTAAAATTTGGCAATAAATGAATTTTTAATTTATTTGAATGATAGGAGAGCAGTCCTGAGCACACTTAATTCTCTTAGGTGTAGGGAGAGGTTAGAGATCTAAGAATTAGAGATTATCAGAAAGGAGAATATCTAATTTTTTTTAATCATGAAAAAGTATCAAATATTGCAAAGTGAAGGAATAATATAATGAACTACTATGCACTCATTTTTCAGTTTCAACAATTCTCATCTCATGCCAATTTGTTCCAGCTGTACCTCACTTTCTCTTTCCCTCTCTGAATAATTTTTTTAAATATATTTTATTGATTATGCTATTACAATTGTCCCATTTTTACCCCTTTATTTCCCTCTACCCTGCATCCACTTCCCACTGCATTCCCCTCCTTTAGTTCATGTCCATGGGCTGTATATATAAGTTCTTTGACTTCTCTATTTCCTATACTATTCTAAACCTCCCCCTGTCTATTTTGTACATACCATTTGTGTTTCTTGTTCTTTTCCCCCATTCTCCTAAGCCTCTCCTCATTTCTTTGAATTCTTGTTTCTTCATTCTTTCCTGGTTGAATGTTTATTTCTTCTTTCTGGTTCAAATTGTTTTTTTGTGTCCCAGTTTCCTTCTCTTTACTGTTGGTTCCCTATACATTTTCTTTTACTTCACTTTGTATAACTTCTACTTGTTCCTCTATTTTGTGACCATACTTAACCATTTCTGTCAGCATCGTGATTACCAGTGTTTTGAACTCTACACCTGATAGGTTGGCTGTCTCTTCATCGCCTAGTTCTATTTTTGGAGCTTTGGTCTCTCCTTTCACTTGGGTCATATTTTTTTGTCTCAGCACACTAGGATTGTAGTAAGGGATGGAACCTTAGGTATTGACCTGGATGGGGCAACTCTCTTCACTGTGTCGTGATGCTGTATGTGGGGGAGGGGTCTGAGAGGAAGCAGTGCCACTTGCTCAGCTCTTGGTTGGTTTTCAGTCACTTCCCCTACTACCCACAAGCAAATTGGGCCCTTCTGGTGCTGACTCCGGGTGAGTGGGTTTGTGTATGTTCTAGAACCCTGTGAACCTCTCCAACAAACTCTCGTGTGAGGCTGGGGGTTTTTCCTGCCAGTGCATTCCCCACAGGTTTTTATAGTCAGAGGTTTTGAGGCTTTATTTCCCCATACTGAACCCTGGGTTGTATGTTCTGTCTAGCTCCCCAGTTGTTCCTCCCCATTTATCTGCACATAAATGTGGTACTGCCTGGTCCACTAGCTGCCACCTCGCCCACCCTGGTCCTCCAGCTGCCACTTTGTGGCAAGTCCACACTACTCCGCTGCCCATCTCAGTCCCTCTTACCAGTCTGGATGAATCTTTCTTCTTTAACTCCTTGGGTGTTGGACTTCCATACAGTTCTATTTTCTGGCAGTTCTGGTTATTTTTTTATTTTTAAATTTGCAGTTGTCCTTCTTTTGGTTGTGTGTGGAGGCAAAGTGTATCTACCTATGCCTCCATCTTGGCTGGAAGTCTCCCTCCCTGAATTATTTTGAAGCAAATCACAAGCAGCATATTATTTCACCCATAAATATGTATTTTTAAACAATATGCTCTACTTTTAAAAACAACCACAAAGTCATTAAGATAGTTTTTAAAATTAACAATTTAAAATCATCTAGTAAGTAT